TGCTTGTGTGCAATCCTAAGAATAGTCTGAAACAGGAATAGGCACTATCCTGTATAACACAGGTTAGTTCTCAAAGCATGTGTTTTGATTCTGTTTGTGTTCATGAATGAACTACCAGGAATTACTCCTGGGAATACTACACAGATTGAAAGAATCCCATTCTGCCTTCTGTTCCTCTGCTGCATATCCTTTCTTGTCAGGAGGGATGATATATCATCTTTTTACTAATACTTGCTTAGTCCAGGACAAGAGATGAGTACTAGAACTCTTCCTCACAGCATAGTTTTGCATGAGTGGAAACAGGAGGGAGGAGCCACCACTTTCTACCTGAAATTTGCTCTGTGTAGGTTAGGGTCAACACGCCTTAGCCTACTGAGCTCACATGAAATGGAATGCATGGTGCTTCTTATATTCAAGTTAACGCAAAGCTGGATGATTGGCAGACTTGCACTCCACAGTTTTTGTGGCCTCTTTGCCAGTGGAAGGGGTGTTGGGACCTGACTTCTTTTGGGTTCAAGTATAATCTAGCAGGTGTCATACTCCAGTGCCTCTACTCTGTATAGTCCTTTCAAAAATGTATAGGTGTTTTTCCTGCACTTACATAAGTACACATATGTCATTAAAATGCCCACAAAGGCCAGAAGAGGGTGTTGAATTCCTTAGAACTGGAGATATATACCAGTGTTAGTAGCTATGTGGGTGCTAGGAACTCAGCCTGGGTTCTCTGTAAGAATAGCCAGCTCTTAATTGCTGAGCCATCTTTCCAGCCCCTCTTCATAGTCTTTTGACCAGAAAGAACTTTTCTTGGAGCATTTCTTTATTGCTGCCTGATAGTGTTTTGGTTGTTGGCTTTTTTTTTTTTTTTTTTTTTTTATTGTCCAGGCTAGGATATACGGGAAATTAAACAAACAACAAACAAAAACAAAATAAACTAAAACAACAGAAAAAGCAAGGTAATTCATTACCAGGTAATCCTAAATTCTCATGGTCCCTAGTCTGTTGACTTTTCTCTACTTTTCAGTCTTCTGCTAGTTTATGATTTTTATCCCAAGTTTTAGGTTGTGATTAGTAAGAGAAGCAGAATACATAATGAGCTATCTTGTCTGGAACCTGGTGTGCTTATTGTAATTCAACACCTAATATTGTAAAACTTTTACATCTACACTTAAAATAGGGTAAAAGAAAATATTTAGCGCATATGGCTTACCAAGTTTTAAAAATATTAATACATAAGATCTTTATAGTTTTTATATTGACTTTTTCCCCAAAGAGTCTACATATTTATTACCAAACCAATCGATTTACTCATACAAAGCAGATAAAATATGCAAATCCAGGGCTGGAGAGATGGCTCAGCGGTTGGGAGCACTGACTGCTCTTACAGAGGACCTGGGTTTGATTTCCAGCACTGACATGGTGGCTATGAACCGTTCTTAACTCCCATTCCAGAGGAATCCGAAGCTGCCTTCTGACTTCTGCAGCATTGCACGACACGGGTGCACTCACATGCATGCAGACAGTACACTCGTACACATGAAATAAAAATAATAAATAAAATATTTTAAAAAAGCAAATCAGGTTCCTAATATGATCAGATCTCTAGGTTAAAAACTTTCAGTTCCATTTGGTAGGCCTAATGATGACCATGATACAGCTTAAACAGTCAGTCGTGCCATCTTCTGTGAATCCTCACAGACCCAGATTGGCTCTCCTCCAGTGTCTTCTCTTAGAGTTGTACATGATTTTGTTAATCTGTTTTAATCTGAATCTCCTGGGGAATAGGACGATTTTTTGCTTTTGTTAAAGAAGAGCATATTGACTTTAAAAAAAAAATAAAATGAAGTCTCCCTATATGGAACTCAGACTGGCCTTGAACTCATGGTCTTTCTGGCTCAGCCTCTCAAGTGCTGGGATAACAGATGTGTTTTAGCACATCTGGCCCAAGGATAAATCCTTTTTTTCTTCCTTTTTTTATTAACTTAAATTTATTGTGAGAAAGAAGAGCTGTGTTATGACATCCTCATATGTATATAATGTACTTCAATAGTAGTCATCCTCCTGTAACCCCCTCTTGCCTTCACTCTCCCCTTCTTCTACATGTACATCAGTAGTCTAGTGCTTTTTCATTCCTGTCCTCATTCCAGCCCTCCTCCTAGCTAGATATAATGTGAATATTTTAGAGCAAGGAAAAAACACATTTACTTTTATCCAATTTGCATAAACATAATAGTTCCTATATGTAATGGTTTAAAAATCATAAACAGTGACTTGGATTGAAGTTGGCAAGCTATAGACCAATGGTTGAATCTAAGTTTTTGTTATTGATTTATGTTATGTGTGTTTTACCTGCATATATGTCTATGTACCATGTGCATAGAGTGCCCACGGAGGCCAGTAGAAGATGTTAGATCCCTTGGAACTGGAGTTAGAGACTGTTGGTAACCACCATGTAGGTACTGGGAACTGAACCCAGGTCTTCTGCAAGAGCAGCTAGTGGTTTTAACTGTTGAGCCGTCTCTAGCCTGAGGCTTTAAAAAAAAAAATTAAATACAAAATTTAGTGGAACACAGCTCCTATTCATTGATGAATCTCCTCCTGCTTTTATACTAAAGTTACACACTTGAATACCTGGAATTGAGACCAATAGCTTATAAAGCCTTAGCAATTTAATTATCTGTCCTTTTACAAGAAGAGTTTATTGGCTTTCATTGTGGTTTGGAACCTTTGTGTTGAATATCTGGTTTGTAGCTGATTGGGCTTTTGGGAGGTGATAGAACTTCCAGGATGAGGGACCTTGTAGAAGAAAGTTAGATCATTGATGGAATGCCGTAGAATGGGGTTATTGGCATATTAGTCCCTTCTTGTCTTCGCTTCCTGGCCACCATAATCTAAACAGCCTTGTTCCTCTACACACACTAGAAAATCTAAAAAATTAGAATTTTCAGAAAATATGTATACTGGAATTTCTTAAATACAGAAAACACTATCTTTTAGCTGTGTATATTTCCAGTCATTCACTGTTTTTAGTAAATGTGCTTCATGTTTTGAAGGGGTGTGAGTTAATGGGAGATAGATTTTTTTTTTTTCTGGTGTGCTGTCAAATAATGGTGTATGTATTTAATTGCAGCATTTTATTTACCACCATAAGTTCACACAGCAGTTTCAAATTTTAGACTATACAGCCCTTACCAAATTTTTGCGCATTGTTGCAGCAAGTCTCACCTTTTCACTGTTCTGTGCAAACCTAGCCCAGTCTTTATTCTGGGCAAAGCTTCCCCCTTTACCATATTCTATTTTGCCACTCCACCTATTAATTAAAGACCACACTAGTGTTGATTTTTCTCCGAAGTGTATTACCTTATGTCACCCACCTGAGGAATCAGTGTACTATCTTACCATTCCTTAGTTGTCACATGTGATTGATCTGGTTGTCTTAAACTGTAAACTTACATGGGTGAGGCTTGTATCCTATAAAATGCCCCCAGCAAGGGATTACCTTAGAGTTATCATTCACGCCAGGCAAGTGTTGTATCAGTGAACCCATCTTAAATGAAAAATTTTAAAAGTATGTATTTTGGGCCAGGTGTGTTGGTGCACTTCCTTAATCCCAGCTCTTGGGAGACAGAGGCAGTCAGATCTCTTGAGATCAAGACCTGCATAGTCTACACAGTGAGTTCTTGACCAGCTGGAGCTGCAAGGAAATTTTAGTAACTTTTTTGATTCTCTTAGACTATTAGGTAATTACTATAAGCAATAAAGACTATGCCACAAAATAAAAATTATTTATTTTAAACTTCAGATTGTTCAGGGAGAATTGATTCTTCTCACAAATAGTTTGCTTATCTTTTCAATCTTTGTGGATTCTTTCTGTCAGTTATTTTGCCAGTGAACTTTTTGTATGTGTGTGTGTGTGTGTGTATGTGTGTGTGCGCACGTGTGTGCTTGCATGCATGTGTGCAGATATGGAGGCCGGAAGTGAACCTCGGGTATTATTCCCCAGGAGATATCTACCTTGTTTTCTGAGACAGGTTCTGTGCAGGGACTTGGGGCTCACCGATTAAGCTAGGCTGGCTGACCAGCAAGCCTCAGAGATTCAGCCTCCCCAGCACTGGAATTCAGGTGTGCACCACCACACCCAGCTTTTTAATTGGCTGCTGGGGCTCAAACTTGGCTCCTTAGGCTTGTGTGACATGCACTTTACCACCTGAGCTATGTCCTCATTCCCCTTTGTACTTTTAAGAATTTTGTGCCATTAATCTTTCAGGTCCCTAAAGTATAGACATCATTGGAGATTGCTTTTTGTCACTGTTTTTCAGAGATTTTTCTCAGCTCTACCTGCATCAGAATCAACTAGTGTCCTTATTATAACTTTTTTCCCTGAACTACGTGCCTTTTTCCCCATACAGATTTTCTGTTCATTATATATTTTCACTCTACTATTCTACAGTCTTTTTGTTAATTTTGAAACCTTTCCTGTAATCTAAAGCTATCTGGTTATTGGTTTTAGGTAGAGCAGTTTCAGTGTATTTGCTAGCAGTATGGGCTGTGGTTATACTCTACCTAATTTATATCCTTGGTTGTGTCAATACTTCAAAGATTAAAAAGCTATTTGGTTAAACGTATTTCTGTGCCTCTGTTTCCTTTTGTAAAATTGGGAATAACTATTCCTCATAGGACTGTCACATATTAAATGAGCAAATATTTGTAAGTCCTTAGAATAGTGCTTGTGCTTAGAAAGAACTAAATTATTAGCCCCTATTATAATTTTGCTCACTTTTGAGCTCTCAAAATTTTGTGTCATAGTTGGATTTATTCTGTGAGTGATGTGCCTTACTAACTGTAGTTTGCACTGGATTTACATTATATGAGGGAATTTAGTAAATATTTACGATATCAAGTAGGAAAATGTCAAATTTCACCATGATTCTTTTGAAAGGTTATTTATTTACATAATATAAATTATAACCTAAGGCAATTTACTGCTCTCTGTATTGTTTCAGGAACTCTAATGCGTCACTGACTGACCAGCACCATTTTCCAGTTGGAGTGAGTTCTCAGAAATGGGCATAGTGCTTTTTGATCCAACATGTAAGAGATGGATGCTGCTCCATGCTGAGGACTTCTTCATGCTGACAGGTTTTTGACTGTGTAGGATCTTTGTCTCTTCACTTTTGAATCTGGATTGCTGATAAATAAAAGGAGTTCATGTAGTGTTTTGTCTAAGCTTGAGTCACCATGAGTAGTAGTTTAGGAAAAGAAAAAGACTCTAAAGAGAAAGATCCCAAAGTACCATCTGCCAAGGAAAGAGAAAAGGAGGCAAAAGCTTCTGGAGGTTTTGGGAAAGAAAGCAAAGAAAAAGAACCTAAAACCAAAGGTAAAGATGCCAAAGATGGAAAGAAGGATTCCAGTGCTGCCCAACCAGGGGTGGCTTTTTCAGTCGATAATACGATTAAACGGCCAAATCCAGCACCCGGTACTAGAAAAAAATCCAGCAATGCTGAGGTAATCAAGGAGCTTAACAAATGCCGGGAGGAGAACTCAATGCGCTTGGATTTATCCAAGAGATCTATACATATACTGCCACCGTCAATCAAAGAGTTGACTCAATTAACAGAACTTTATTTATACAGTAACAAATTGCAGTCCCTCCCAGCAGAGGTGGGCTGTCTAGTAAATCTCATGACATTGGCTCTCAGTGAAAATTCACTGACCAGTTTGCCTGACTCTCTTGATAACTTGAAGAAGCTGCGGATGCTTGATTTACGGCATAATAAACTGAGAGAAATCCCTTCAGTGGTGTATAGGCTAGATTCTCTCACTACTCTGTACCTTCGCTTTAATCGTATAACTACTGTGGAAAAGGAAGTCAGAAACCTGCCAAAACTCAGCACCCTCAGCATTCGAGAGAACAAAATCAAACAACTACCTGCTGAAATTGGTGAGATAATTTGCAACATCATTTGTTGTATTTATTGTGCTAAATAATTTTGTTGAGTTATTTTGTTGCCCTGTTTGAGCAGCACCTTTTCCATATCAGAAATTTCCGATTGCCTGAAAACATCTTGTTTCTAAATTTTCTCCTATTTACAATTTACTTAGTAGACATGACTTGAGATTATTGACTGACTAAGTGGGTTACAACTTTATCACACAACTTAACCTGCTTTAATTTTCACTGGGAAAAAATAAATTTGAAATTCATATTCACGAAAAAATATTTTGAAGGACACATTTCAAGTGGTTACCTTAACACCTATTTTTAAAAGTAGCTATATATTTATATCAGCTATATGGTCTCTACTTCCTCATTTCCACTTTCTCTATCTGAAAAGTGCTTGATTAAATTTACATCACATTCTACCTGATTTACTACTGATGGTTATCACAGCTTTATGAAAGAACACTGTCATAGGAAAAGGGAATTTTTTTTCCATTTTGAAAATACATGTCCATTAAAAATATAGGGACTGGGGGGCCTGGAGGGATGGCTCAGTGGTTCAGAGCATTGATTACTCATACAGAAGACCTGTGTTTGATTCCCAGCACCCACATGGCGGCTACAAACTGTCCTTAACTCCAGTTTCAGAGGAATCCAGTGCCCTCTTCCCCATGGCATTGCACGACACGGGTGCATTCACATACATGCAGGCAACACACTCATACACATAAAATAAAAATAATAAAAAAAATATAGGGACTGGAGAGGTGGCTGAGAGGTTAAGAACACTGGTTGCTCTTGCAGAAGACCCTAGATTCAGATCCCAGCACCCAGATGATGGCTCATGCCCATTCCTAACTCCAAGGGAACTGGCACCTTCTTCTGACCTTTGTGGCATTGCACACATGGGTACACTTACATATGCAGACAAAACACTCATAAAAATACAGTGTGACAGATGGGCACAGTGGTATGCTGCTATAATCCTAGCTATCCAGTAACCCATTACAAAAGGAGCACCTGAACCCAAGATTGGACATATGCCCGGGCAACATGGTAAGACCCTGTCTCAGAAACAGCAAAAGCAAACCAGAAAACCCCAAATACAGAGACAGAAGAAGAGAGACCTATAATATGTGCAATACAGCTGGCATTTTGATAGATTTCATTCTGTCTTTTATATAAAGCTAAAGTATAACTGAAACAAAGGAAAAACTTAAAAGGTATAGGTATAGCCTATAGGGGAAAAAAGGAATATAAGTGTGTAAACAAGTCACTAAAAAGAAATCAACTCCCTTGAACTTTTAATTATGGAATACATTTCTGATCCATTTGAAGAAAATATGTATGTATTCATTATCAGGGTTTTTCTTATTATTATTACTTGTTATGTATATGAGTATATTGCTTGCATGCATGTAAGTGCACCTGTGTCGTGCAATACCCACAGAGGTCAGAAGAGGGCATGATTCCCTAGAACTGAAATTACAGACGATTGTTAACTGCCTGGTGGTTGCTGGGAACCGAACCTGGGTTCTCTGCAAGAACAGTCCGTGCTCTTAACCACTGAGACATCTCTCCAAGCCTGTCCTTAGCAATTTTTTTTGAATTATTTATTTAATAGCCACACAGTCAGAAGAGGCATTTCATAACAACAGAATTGAAGTATTCAATAGAGATGCATCTCCTTCAAAATTGGCTGTAATTGAATTAATACAGATATAAAATTAAATGAGGTTTTAAACTTTAAAAAAGATCTCCATTTCACTATTAAAATACACAGTTTCATACAGAAAAATTCATTTTCAATACAGTTGACACTAAGATACACATGTATTTCGAATCTCTATATATCTGATTATTACTAGTCACAGTCGGTTACATTCTGAGCTCCTTGGCGTCTGAGCAAAGATATAAAGTCATCAGGTAGATTTCAATGGTAATATTTTTTCACATCTACTGATTATTAAGGAGCAAATTTTTGTGCTTTGAAGAATTCTTCTTTTTTTTTTTTTTAAATTCTTCCCAGGTAGCACCCTCCTGTAGCTTCCCTCCCCACACTAGAGCCCTTATACTCTGATATCCCTGCTACTGTCTGCTTTGTTGTTGGCACCCCCAGCCATTCCCAACTGCTTGTCCATCTGGTGAATCTAGTCAGCCTATCTAGAGGTCTTTGTTTTAGGAGGGTCAGCTGTTCCTCTTCTAGCGGTAATCAGTTGTCTCTATTCCTTTAGATAAGATTGGGGTCTGCTGTTCATTTTCCCAGTTCTGTGCTGGGTTACTATCTGGGAATCCCTTTGGCCACCCTGGCCATCAACTCAAAAGAAATTATCGCTTGTCTGGCATTGTTGCTTGTTATGTAGTCTTTAGCTATGCATACGGACCGGACTCTTATGAAATTATGTTGGCCCATTTAATCTTTGGTTATACTTTCCTTTTGGGTGTTTAAGGCCATACAGTTGGTCCAGATAAAACCAATTTATTTTTACTCTTAAGGTCATTTGAGGATCTGTTCCTCAGGGGTCACATGGGCTTGGGAGGAGCCCCTGGCTCC